AAATCACATGGGCAGGGACCAATATTAAATTAATAGTCTATTTTTTCTTTTTTTATGTAACACTTGATGTTGGACTTTAAAGGGTAAATATGGAAATAAAAATGAACCGTTTTCGGGGTCCATGACCTCTTATCAGGAAAAGCAGTGAAAAATTCTTGCACAAGTGATTTACATTCGGAGTATGTTCCTAAAGCATGCTGCAATAGTCAAAACTTGCGAAGGCATGTACCGCTAAAAAAGTCAACTGCTACAATTGCATCATGTCCAAGTTTTTAAGCAACAAGGCGAGCATCTTCATGCAGCCTCTTTGTACAAAAATATCAGCAAAAGTCTACTGTACAAAAATATCAGCAAAAGATATACCTATATTTATAGATATTTCAACTGGAATTGGAATCAATTGTTTGGAACCAGATGGAGGGGAATTCAGTTTCTGGCCCAAAAACACCATTGTTGATGGGTGAAGGAAGAAGAAGCAGGAGACTGAGTAGAAGGAATTCAGTGAACTCGCTGAGGTCTAATTTTGTGGCAAAATTGCCTGATAAGGTCAGATCTGGCCTGGATATTGAGTCCCCTTATCAGATCAATTTATCCAAAACAACAGGCTTAACAGAAGGTAATCGGTCCTTGGTATGTGATAATTATTCAAGGTTGCATACTCACTAGTTCTTCAATCCAAGAACAGAGCTTTTTGACTCTTTGCATGCACATGTTTTTGAATGTTTTGTTGTTTCAATCTTTTTACAGGGGAAAAGGAATATTATGAAAAGCAAATGGATACGCTGAAATCCTTTGAGGATGTTGATATTCTAATGGGAAATGACAACGACAATGAGGATGATGATGAAGAGCAAGCTCAACATGAAAAGGCTATGAAGATATCTAACTATGCAAACATAGTATTGCTGGCATTTAAGGTGTAGTTTTATCACCATTTCGTTCTCCAAGGTCAATCAAACTACAAAAAGTTTTAGTTTCTTCTTTTTCTGCACTTTATTTTGTTAAAAAATTGGTTTTGGCCTGTGTGATCAATCTCTTAGTCCAATTATTAAAGATGGAGATATGCTTAGTGTGCAGATATACGCTACTATAAAGACTGGATCTTTGGCCATAGCAGCGTCGACGCTGGATTCTCTGCTTGATCTTATGGCTGGTGGCATTCTTTGGTTCACTCACTTGTCAATGAAAAAAATAAATATCTATAAGTATCCTATTGGAAAATTGAGGGTGCAGCCAGTGGGGATAGTTATCTTTGCTGCTATCATGGCCACACTTGGTATGTTAACTAGCTGCAACTAGCAATTTTTTCTTTTTTTATTCCTTTTGCGTAACAAATCTATATATCCTTTTAGTTTCTTTCGATACAACGTTGTTTGTAACGTGGAAATTTTGCATCTTGACATGTTTGATTTCATGGTGAGTGATAACTTGGCAAAAAAAGGAGCTAGAACTAGGAACAGAAAAACTAGCCTAATGTGAATGGCAAATCGATTTCTTCATAGAACAGGGTTTGTCATTCTGATTCATCTCTACAGGGTTTCAGATTTTGATACAGGCTGTCGAACAACTAATTCAACACAGACCTACAGAGAAAATGTCTCCTAATCAGTTATTGTGGTTGTATGCAATAATGCTAAGTGCAACGGCAGTCAAGCTTGCCCTTTGGTTATACTGCAGAAGTTCAAGAAATGAGATTGTCCGTGCCTATGCAAAGGTTTTGTTCCTGACCTTGTCACTGAAAAAGCTTTGTGTCTTTTAGTTCTGGACTTGTTGTCACCAGTTCAAGCTAAATCAAATGCCAATGTTCAGGATCACTATTTCGATGTAGTCACGAATGTAGTAGGATTGATTGCAGCCGTTCTTGGCAATAAGTTCTACTGGTGGATAGACCCTGCAGGTGCCATCCTCCTTGCAGTTTACACAATTATAAATTGGTCTGGAACTGTTGTGGAAAACGCAGGTACCTTCTTCACCACTATAGTCCTCCTTGAATACACCAAGATTTCTAACCATGCATGCACCTCTTTATGCAGTTTCACTTGTTGGACAATCTGCACCTCCTGAATTCCTGCAGAAGTTGACATATCTTGTTATCACGCATCCTCTAGTCCAGCGCATCGAGATGATCCGAGCCTACACCTTTGGTGTTCTTTATTTTGTAGAGGTTTGTTACGCTATATGGAACTCGTTACAAGTTTTAGCGCATCCTTTTCTTTAAGCATGTAACAGTTTGTGCTACCTTGAAACAGGTAGATATTGAACTCCCAGAAGAACTGCCACTAAAGGTAGCACATGTTATTGGTGAGACTTTGCAAAATAAGATTGAGAAATTGACCGAGGTTGAGAGAGCATTTGTTCATCTTGATTTCGAATGTGACCATAAACCAGAACATATAGTTCTAAGCAAGCTGCCCGGCAATGATCCTTGACTTGTGGAGCTCCTCCCATGCATCCTCGCCCTTATTTCTACTTATTCCTACTTGTTTCCGTGGTCACCTATTTTGCAAAGCAATGCTATTTTCGGAGTATTGATGATTGTAATTTACATCAGGCTTGTATTCTCTGGTCAGAGGCCGTTACAGAGCCTATGAATTTGCTGTTAATCAGGGGACTAATTAAGCCAACATCAGGCTTCTTGTACAATAAAAAAGCAATATGGGGTAGGTCATGCAAATGGGATCCTAGGGTTTGGTAAGCGATATTACTCGGTAAATAACTATAAATTATACTTTTCATATGCTAATGAACTATAATTAATAATGATGATGAAAGAATTATTTTTTTGTGATGGAAGGGGAAAAGGGTTTTGTATGGAGGGATGAAAAAAAAATAATGGGACCAAAAGGAGAGAGTGCTGCTGAATCCACTCGAAAATTCTCGAGTTGCAAAACTTGAAGAATTATTGTCAATACAAAAATAAAGGATTCATGTTTAAGCAACAATTCAGTTATAAATCAATTTATATGAAATGTTCTAAACTTCCACCCAATTTTAATCATCATTAATCATAAATAACACTTTGTATTAATTATTTAAATTGTTATTTTCAACTTATTACTGTGTTTTTTCTACCATATCTTTTCATCATCATTATCATCTAATTATTATTATCATTTCATTATTATATTTATTTTCATCACCGTTATAATCACATCATTGAAAAATATTTAACAAGCTAAATATTAAAAAACACTTTACATGTAAAACCTTTTACAAGAAAAAACATATAAAAATATTTCACCCAAAATAAATAAACCCTAAATCATAAATAAGACTTATATTATTGTTTTTAAATTTAAACTAGTTTAGCATATTTACTTGAAACTTGATCTATTCAGAACACAAACCAATCCTAGTTGAAGAATAAAAAAAAAAATTGGTTGATTTAGTTAAAAATTTAGATTAACTTGATTAATCAAAGTCTAATCCGAACAAAACTCAATAATCAACTTATTAACTTTTTTTAGATTATTTTTATATTTTGATTTAAATTATTAAATTCAAAGTCAAATATCATGATACTATTGATTGTATAATCTAACAATTAAGCTTTTTTCAAAAATGATTTTCTTTATAAAAACAAATTTTTATAAGATCAGCATTCCTCATTGTATATGTTGGATAATTTTAAAAAAATTAAAAACTGAAATATAAATAAAATAAAATTTAAGATCAAAATATTAAGCTTTCAAACTAAAAAGATACAAAACAAAAGTGAGAAAAATTCTTTAGGCTAAAATCTTAAAAAGGCGGGTATTAAACAGTAAAAAAAATTTTGCTCGGTTGCCTCCTTGTTAAATTTGATCTCTAAATTATTATATTTTTTTTACAGGAATATTTCAATTCAATGCAGATAATTTTTTTTAACACTGGAATAACTCAATAAAAATCAAATTCAATTATCAAATTTAAAATTCAAGTCAACTTAATCTAATAAAATTAAAATAAAAAAACGTTTAGTTATTAAAAATCCCAAAAAGAATAAAAAGATAGAGAAACACTGTGGAACGAGTTTTGGTCAACAGTATTTGTGCAAGATATATCTTTCTAGGTTTCAGTTAATAAATACAGCAGCTTTCCTTGCTTGTTTTTCGCTAGAGAGTAAAGACTTAAGACAGCTTCCGTGACTGTTTTGCGCTAGAGACAGAGAGGAAATCCAATAACCGGGTCAAGAGTCCGATAAGAATCCGAATGAAGGATAATTCGAATTTGCTGGGTTTTTGTGTATGTGTTTGTTGGTAAAAGTTTAGTACTTGTTTGGTTACTAAGAAAGTGAAAACCAAAAAAAAAAGGACAGCCTTTGAGAGCAAAGATAGCTGAAAAGGTATGAGGGTTAATATAAGTATTTTTATGCATAAAATGGGTTAAAAAGTTAATGACTTGTTTCGTTGCTTGGAAACTATAGAGGGAATGAAAGGGAAAAGAGTAATTTTGATCAAGTCTTGCTGTTAATTGTTTTTTCACGGGTTTTGATTTCTGCTCTTAGAATTCTGTTTAATTTCTTGGAAACCAAATAGAGATTAATTTCTGTTTTACAGTGATTTAGTTCTTGTCTTTTGCTATGGAATTTATAGAGGAAAAGGAGTACTATGAAAGACAATTCACCGCGTTAAAATCATTCGAGGAAGTTGATGCTTTGATGGAAACTGATACAATTTGTGAAGAAGATGAAAAATAAAACTTAGGGTGTGTTTGTTGCGCCTAGTAGCATTTTTTTGTGGTCCAGTGGTCAATGATTTATGTGAGGCATAATATGAAAATGTAAACACACAATGATCTGTGTGAGGCAGGATATGAAAATTTAAACTCGATTGTGTTGATAAAATTTTTTTATCAATCACGATCTTTGTTTAAGTTCCCTTGATAAGCATAGACTTTCGAAGGAGTAGAATTTCGTTACCTAACACTCATTCTTCACAGGCTTTTTAGATATCGATCCAAGCTGCTGAAGAGCTTATTGTAAATGAACCACGCCCAAAGATATTCTCACATCAACTATAATGGCTTTACATGATAGTGGTAACTGCTACTGTGGGGAAACTAGCACTTCGGATTTACTGCAGAAGCTCAGGAAACAGTATTGCCCGTGCCTGTGCGAAGGTTTTCGGCTCTACTTTCTAAATAATTAGCTTTTTGTTATTGAGCTGCTAATGATCAGATTCTGACATCCAGGATCCCTATTCTGATGTGGTGACGAATGCTGGTAGGATTGGTTGCAGCTGTTCTTGGGGATAAATATTACTGGTGGATTGACCCTGCTGGAGCCATTCTTCTTGCAATTTACACAATTACAAATGCAGGTACCACTTTTCATTCGTGGTGTTCATTCGTGGTTGTTTTGGAAGGAAGCAGATAGAGCGATGAGCAGATAAGGTTATTCCTGTTAGACATATCTGCCAGCATTCCTAAGATGGGCTGCTTGTTGCAGTTTCTCTTGTTGGGAAATCAGCTTCTACCGAAATCTTGCAGAAATTGACATATCTTGTCACAAGGCACCCTCAAGTCGAGCGTGTAGGCGCATTCCGTGCTTGTTCATTTGGAGTTTTTTATTTCGTAGAGGTAAGCATGCCATCCATAATTGTTTAGTATTGCTTGTTGAGTGAATTGTCTTGCGATTAGGATCTTCCACTCCGCTCATTTGAACACTGCATTTTTTGGCTTGTTATGACTCCATCTTCCTTGTCCAAATGTCGTGATGCCTGCGGCATGACATAAGTTTTGCTTTCGAATTAGACTGGTCATCAAATTGGCAAACCTTCGAACTGTTTTCTGTCTACCTTCGTGAAGTCAAAGGGTTTATTAATCAAATTCTCAAGAGGGGAATTTTTCAAGTCTATATTATATGCATGATTTAACATCTCTACTTCTGTTTCCCCCTCTTGAAACAGGTTGACATTGAACTTCCAGAAGAGCTACCTCTAAAGGAAGCACACACTATTGGAGAGACACTGCAGAGCAAGATTAAGAAGCTCCCAGAAGTTGAGCGGGCATTCGTTCATCTTGATGACGGATGTGAACACAAACTGGAGCGCTCTGTTCTCAACAGGTTACCTAATAGATAGCCTTGGTTTGGTGGGAATGTTACGGCATGTGTACGAACAAAGATGACCGAGGATTACCAAACCCACTGCTTATTTATTGGGAGATTGAGCACGTACAAGCCGATTTTATTAGTTTTTTATTCGAGTTTATTAATTAGATTTATTTTTTGTCATTTAGTTTGACAATTTTATTTTGTGGGCTATTAGTACAGTTGTTGGGGGTGTTCAGGGATACTATTTATATGCTATTTTTCTACATTGCAGAGTTGCAGTATTCACCTCCTCCCTTTTCTCTTCTCTTCTCCTCTCCAGCTCCCACTTCCTCTTTCCATTTCTTCTCTCTCCTCTTCTTTCTTTTCTTTTCAAATCTTACATTGTCCGATTCAGCTTTTAGTATCAAAGCCTCGAGTTCTAGTTGTTCCTACAACTAAACAATCCATTACAAAAAAAAAAAAATTGCTCAAATTCCAGAAATTCAGTAACAGTTTGTAAACCTTATAATTAGGGGGCTCTCATAAAAAAAAGAGTGTAATCGAACTTATTACATGTATAAAAATTTCAAGCTCTCAATTAATGGTGTCAAATTCAAACAGCTCTCAAACCTATTATATATAACAGGAGTGTTCAAAACTCCTTTTAAGAATTTTGTCTGAAGATGTGAAATTTGATTTTCTGCCTTGGACCTCCCATCTCTTTTTAATGGTCAAGCTGCAATCTAACATAGCCTTTGGATTTTCTGTTGATCAAAGGACTAATTATGAGTGAAGCCCATGAAAAGATGTTGGTTGATCAACCATTATGGCTTGACGTACTCATGAAAATTGCCACGTAATTATAGTTTTCTGGTTAGAATCTTTTCTTTACCCCTCTATGAAAAGAAGAATGCTATAAAGTACCGGTTGTTCCTAGAATACAACAAACAAAAATTTACCGACGGAGTTGTGGAGAAGAACAAAATGATGACTTACTTAAGAACCAGGCAGTATCCGACCATTGTACATCTTATCAAGTAATTGCCGTGCATCAGGCCTCCTTAGAAGACCTTTGTTATTTGGTAAACCAGTACCTAAACAAACAGGACAAACGAGTTTCCCTCGACCTGCACACGCCATGCACTGGTTGTCATTTCTCACGGAAAAATAAACTATCAAGAATACTGCAGGCAAAAAGAGAGAAGTGGGTAAAGAATTCATGGCTAAAAGCGGTAACGATAACAGTTATGTATTTGGTGTTGGAAAAGGAGAATAAGAAACTATTACCATGCAACGATCTTTAATGTCAAAACAAACATTTTTGAAGCTATATAGCAGCTTGACCAGTTTCTCAAACAGGAAAAAAAAAATATATATGCAGCATGTGATTTTAAAAATGTCTAGCTAACCATAAGTTACAGGTACCAGCTAAAGTTCTAGACTTGATACTTGGCTGTTAAATCTTTTTCACATTTCAGCATGTTGAACAGAAAAAATAGGTTCTTAAGTATTGTTTGTATAATTTCTAGGGATCAATTTAGCTTCTTGTGATGTTCCACTAATGAATAAGAGGGTGTGCTATCTACTGACTTTGAACTAAAGGGAGCAGTAAACCATAAGAAAACTCAACTCATATATGGGACTTGTTTGCAACTCATGATAGAGATTGGAAGATGTAGCTTTTACAGAAGCTCTTAGATCTTGTACACCAATATGCAACAATGTTTCCAACATATTTTACTCTAAACTTGAAAACCAACAACTTGTTGAGACGACAATGTTTGGAAGTTTTGCTAAAACATGTTTTTAGTTCGAGTCACAGTTTATCCAGCAACCTTATATTCAATAAACTATATAGCTCGCCTCATTGACGCATAATGGTTACTTCCATCAACAGCAGGCTGATGCGACTATCACAGAATTTCTGATGAGGGAAATTCCAAACTTTCCAAATGTTTCCCTGATTCTTATATCTTCAAAATACTTTTGGAGACCAAAGGGCTTTAATCTCTGGTTGATTCATCATCAGAAATCAGATGCTCAAAGAACCACTATGAACATGTTTCTATAGAGCAGCGATATAAAGAAGCTTGCTGAAATGGGGCTTGTCTAGATTTTCTAAGTCAGGGATATTCAGAATGACACATATTGCATGCCGAGATATACTGAACTTGTGTCCGATTTATCATTCCCGCATTCAAATGCTGATAAAAAATGGAATAGTTCTCATATTGAAGTAATGAAAAATGAAAACAAAGAAGGAGAAAGCGTAAAAACAAGTACCGGAATATGTATAATCTCAGGTGCTAATATAAAGATGGAGCATCAGACAGAGAATATGTACCATAACAATTTGGACATTCTGTAAACTCATAAACATCTTTAGCTCGTTTTCTGTTGAGGGCTTTCCATTTTCCGGTTCCACCGCACATATCACCTATATAAAAGGTAAATCAATGTCTTGCAGGCCAGTTTAAAAAGCGAGATGAATTTTGAATTGAAACTTTAAAAATCCCTAGTATGCTAAAAAAGGCAAACTTGACAAAACTAAGATCACAATAAGAAAAATGCAGAGAACACAAGATAAAAGCAAAAGAATACTGACAAAGTACAGCACCACTGCCCAAACAATTCCGGCATACAGGTCTTTCTTTTCCATCCATGGCAATTGCTTTTGGGATTGAAATGGAAGTTGCTGAAGTACCGATTAAAACTAAGGTTGAACACAAGCAAGAAAGACACTGGCGCCTTGATGTTGACAATTGAGATTCCTGTTGCAAAAAATGGGATATTGCTGAATAGAAGATCAACATCTCGCATTCTATCATAGACTTATGGGAGACCTTGTACATCAGTAAGAACTATAAACATAAGCATTCTAAGTTTTCTGCTTAACGAAGACAACCTCTCCGCTACAAAATCATTACAAGTATTCTGTTCTTTTACTATCCAATAGCTAATCTGTTAAGATTTAAAAGCGATTCCTCTATTATCCCATTTCATCGAGGGCTGGCTTCGATGCCCCCTAAAATTGAAAAGTGTGGTTTTCTCCCTAAGAACATCACTTAAGAATGAGAAGAACCTACAAGCATAAATATAAGTAAAATCATGAATAACATTGTTTCAAAAATTAAGAAAATTGATTACAAAGAAAGACAAATTTGAAACACAAACCTTCATCTTGATTGACTGTGATGGGTCATCGAAACCTCCAGAGGACGAGGAGCTTTCATCTTCCAAACTTGATTTCACACGAATCCCAACTGGCTTCACATTAAGTACTATGTATACATGTTAAAAACAGACATCATAGTTAGAACAACACTGTCTTGTCTACCAACAAACCGTACATGAGAGCAAACACTGATATCCATCAATTGAACTAGGAAAAACACCATGATGAAACAGATGGAAGCTAGTTCAAACATGTTTAAGTTCTCACATAATTATAGTTACTATGTGGCAAATTCTCACACATGCTGACACGAACTGAACTATACACGACTGGAAAACAAGAACTAAACTAGGAAAGCAAAACCTAAGCAATAAAAACAAAGATCACAAGCCAAGAAGATTCAACAACACATATATAAAAGAAAGTAAGAGACAGTTTTCAAGAAGCTGAAATTCACTTATGGGGTGCTTAAAAAAGAGACAGAGAGAGAGAGAGAGAGATAGTCTTACAGTGGTGCTGTGAGGGTTTAGAGGATAAAGACAGGCGTTCTGGGAAAACTGAGAGATGAGAAGTAGATAATAATGACGATACCATTCTCTCTATCTCGATCTCTATCTCTGTGTGACAAAATCAGTTTCTCTTATCATATGGGGTGTGTAAATGTAATCTACGGAGGGCATGGGAGACGAGAACTTGTGGAGGGAGATGGCTGTTCAGATAATTAAAAAATGGTGACGTGAATCATGTATCAGCCATTTGATGGATATTTGGATGGCTGATATTTTTCCTGCCAGTAATATATAGATAGAAATGGTGATTAATTTTGTAAAATTAAAATTATACAGTAACTGGGTCCATTAGTATATTGATGATGAAAATCAAATTGATTTTCAAAAGGTTTTAACAAGCCAAGTGACTCAATCTCGAGTTATGAATTGACCGGGGTTAATATAAAATAAATTTAATATTTTATATGTAAAAGTTTTGAATATACATAGATTGTAAAAAAAATATAAGATATGAAATATAATATGGTTGTCTCATTTTAAAATATTAAAACATATATTATTTTTTAACTTTTTAATATGAGATGATTATACTACATTATATATATATATATATATATATATAGAGAGAGAGAGAGAGAGTACTTCCATTTATATCATTTTAAAATTTTTTCATGTTAAAACCTTGAACATGAGTTTTATAGCTTATTTAAAAAAACAAATGTTAAAAAATATAAGGTATCACCTTATATTTTTTAACATTTGTTTTAAATTGTTAAAACAAATGTTAAAAAATATAAGGTATCACCTAGGTTTTAAATTGACTTAATAAATCACCTCGAGTTGACCGAGTAATTGCATCTTCAAGCTTTTTTTATTTGAAATCTGACCGACGTCCAGGTCAACTACTTTTATTTTTCATTTTTAATTCCAACTTGAAACCAAAAGGTACTCTTAATACTCTAAATTTAAAAAGTATCCAGATTACTAGATTATTGAATCAACTCACCCATTACAGATTAATTATTTTTATTAAAATAAAATCATTTTTTTTAGTATAACCACATAAACCGGCTAAGTTTTATCATATTAATATTTTATCATGTTCAACTAAAAATTTAACCTATATCAAGCTCAAAGTCTTGTTGGCCATTTAAGAACACGATTGAAACTATTTCTCAAAAAAAATTGCTGAAAATTAATTTTAAAAATATCTTGTATCAAAAATAATTTTTAAAAAATAAAAAAACAAACAAACAAAAGCTTCCTCGCTTTCAAGAATTACCTTAAATTTCCAAACAAAACCAGGTATAATAACTATGACAAGGAAAAAAAAAAAGAGCCTTAACCCAACTTAAGCTCCAAATCCAGAACTCTGGCCTGCAGATCATTTACGCCAGTCTTTTGGAACACTTAGGTTATAAAATCGATGGCAGTAAAGAAGTGCAAACTAAAACCTTATGTATTAAGAGCTAAAATTACAGCTTCAATATCAACCATACACAAAACTACAATTCTCAGTTGCTGCAACTAAAGCTCTCTACTCCAATTTGTATAATTAACATGGGAAACAAAATAAGCAAGGTGGGGTGGGCAAGAATCATTAAAATCTCTTTTTGTTTGTTTTCTTGCTCCCTACAATTTGACATTTCAAGAAACAGTCCTCCCATAGCACAAACATGCAAGATAGAGGTTCTTCGCCCACTTTTCCTGTGCGTTAAAAGAAAAACCAGAGTGAGATATTGTCTCGTAATTCATTACCAAATAAAATATTAATGAGAATAAACAGTGTATAAAAATTTCATACTGCTCCCATCAGGGGGGGCGTAAAAATGACTAAAATTTAACACTTGTGGGATATCAAAACAGGAGAGAGGCCACATACAAGCAAGAAATTGTTATGCAAAGTTCTTCAATTTCTAGATTTTGTCACAACTCATAGTTAGCATGCCATTAAAAAGGAAGAATCATGGTACAAACTTTTGTATATGAGCTAAGGTGCTATGTTTATGTAGTGGTGAACTATCGAAATGTTGCAGCAGTTGATAAGTTTGGAAGAGATGAAGAAAACAGTTTAGGCCTGTTGGTTTACTGCATGATGATTCAAACAACAGAAAAGAAAGGTGCAGTCTGTTTCTGTGATGGAGGTGGATTCAAGCACAAACAAAGCATTCAGATAATTGAACAACAGAGTCAACAGCTCCATGATCAAACAGAATGTATTACCTTAACATGAGTGCTTGGAAATTGAGATGTGCGTAAAGTTTCCTGGGTTTCATCTCCAGGTTTGCGCTTTGGGACACTCAAGATTAGAGCAGCTTGATCAAAAGTTGCAGCAGTTGATGTAATTCTGAAACCAGTATCCCACCTTCTGTGAATGCCCTCACTTGGATAGAGAAAATCAAGCTCCACAACCTGTTGAAGCCAGTGGTAAGTGACACAGAACCCACTCCCAAGTGAATTACTTGCAAGAAAACATATAAACTTCTTATATAGTGCTGATATGTACAAACTTTATATGGTTTAAACTTGAGCAATCTGCAAACCACCATACTAGTTTGTTTCAAATTACTTCGTTTAAAACTATGGTTGACAAGTTACCAAGGTCACTTTATTCTATATTTTGGTTCTAAATCAATGTGTCCGTTGCCATCCATAACTATCTAAAACTTAATCAATGTGCCCGTTGCCATCCATAACTATCTAATCAATGTTAATTTCAACAAAATCTGCAATTTGTGCCTGTGAGATCACAAATAAAAATGAAATCTAGAGGGCAAGGTAAATAGAGCTTTCAGGCTAGGTATTTAACTGGGAATCCACTGTTCAAGTTCAAACAAATTGTTTATTTATTTTTAATCAAGCTTTCATTTGGATAGCAACAGTTTTGAAAAATAAAAAGGAAAACCAAAAACTAATAGGTCCAAGGTGAATTGAAGTTCACATTCAAACCATGGAAAGTTTGGTCAGACTTATGAACAGTAAAAATTCCAGGGCTCGATGCTCATGCAAATTAGTGAGAAGAGCAGCGGCTACTGCTTTTATATATTTGGAATGGGCATAGCCTAGGAATGAATTCAATTGTCTAAATGACAAGAGAAATTTGACCTGATCACTGAAGCCTGCATTGCGTGACATGACAACACCCCAGCGGGTTCCAGCAGTCGCCATTGATGTCACATAAAATCCTTCTCTCCACTTCTTGTTTATCCACTTGAAGGGGAAAGAATCACTTACTTTGTAAGACTGTTGAGTGTATTGGGTGCCTGCATAAATTAAAGGCATCACTTTGTTTTAGTTGCCAAAAGGAAAAGTTTTCTAAAATTTGCACCACAGCAACACCTTGACCCACATGCCTAAAGAAAAAGAAAGAAAAGTTGCAAGCAAGTGGCTCATGTTCAAATGCAACAACCACAGAAAAGTCATAATAAACCATTAAACTGTAGCCCAAAGACTAACAATAGCTGCACGTTAATACAAAGAACTTAAAGAGATAATGTGAACTAACCTTTGGACATGACCACAAGGGAGCTTCCATTGTTTGAACCAGCAATAGAACTGATGTAATAGTTCTTCTCCCATTGTTCCATTATCCATTCCTGTCAATTGGGAAGTAACAATTTTAGCAATTTCAATTACTGTCTCCATATTCAATTACTAACATGATTAAGAAAAGGAAACCTGAGCATACTTACACATGCATATGCATGTATGAATTTGAGTTTATATTTTTGCATTTACATATGCACAGTGGAGGTTCACCTTGTGTAAGAAAAAAGGTGACAGTTCATAAACTTGGCTTGTAAAATTAGTTCCAGCATCCATTATTAATGCCCAAAGATTGGAAGAAGATGCAACACAGCTTATAAGCAGACCATCAGCAATTCCTCTCTCCACATGTTGACCCAACCTTCCATCAGCGACATTATAATGGTACCTATATAAAGAACAGACAGATGTCGTCAGGCATCAATAAAGTCAGGAAACCACATTCAAGTGCAGTGAAGCAAAGGAGGCGTGCCCAGCATCCTCAGTGTCAAATATTACTAAGAAAGCAGGGGAGAGGGAGGAGGGGAATTGGGGAGGCATATCTAGGACTGGTTCACCCTTACGCCAATTGCCAAGCATAAGATCACCAAACCTGATAGACAAGGTGGCTGTATAGGGGACCAAAAAAACCGTGCGACACAATGGAATTGTGAAAGGATTTTTCAAACAGATAAATGCAGTAACAATCATTTTCGAATCTTTGCTTAGTTAGGACATGTAGCAGTCCTTTTAGGACAGCCACTTTACTGTTACAAAAAAATTTTCTCTTTGCTTACATACCCAGAGTTGTATGATTTCTTGTTGCCTCAGATTAATAAAGGTAAACTAGAATCCAAATGAACAAAGCAATTCTTTAGAGGGAAAAGACCAAGAATCATGAATCAAAACATTGTACCTCTGTTTCATTGGTGGCTTGGCATTGTAAACAGAAATCCATTGCGCAGCAGGAACTCCAAGACGGACTTTTTTCTTAGGTTGCCCATCATCATCTTCCTCAATATTCAGCCTACCACGTTTTTGACCAACTTGACAAATGATCTGCCAAAGGATGCATATTACTGAGCAGAGAAGGGCGAGTGTAAAAGTAATATTTGTTTGTGGATTTAAGCACTGCCCCTACCTTTTGAGCACCATCAGTGTTTATTGGCCTTATAGCTGGATTTGGTCCTATCAAGCTCTCAAACAAAGATATTAATTTGGAATAGTTGGGCTCCTCATCAAATTTCATATTCACCACGATTTCAAGAAACTGTTTAAGAGGAGGAGGACAGAAGCAGCACAGCATCTCTGGTGATGTTGCCATCTTCTTTTTGCAAACCAAGAAGGACTTGTTGTCACCCTAAGATTAATTTGACAAGAAAAGACAACAGAGTCAACATATCATTTTATCGAAGAAATGCATAGGGATGGCAAACTGCCCTTGCAAGCATGTGTATTTTGCATTTATTAATATGGGCATGTACATGGCTTGTGTGATTGTATGTCCTTGTAGTACCTGATAGCCTTGCCATGGCAATCTGCCTTTGTGAAGGAAGATGAGTGTATACGCAAGAGATTCAAGATCATCTCTCCTACTGGCAGTTCTTCCCAAATGAGCATGAACACTAGCATATCGAACAGTTCCCC